TTGCTATATTAAACTGAAAATATAAATGTAAGACAATCACAGGTGCTTGAAATCATGATACTACTGCAACATATAGAGTTAAGCCTTGAATTTTGTGAAACATTTTACCCCCAACACACGTGCTTCACTATGCATCGTTTGCTAGTCATGAAGACTCTATTTGTAAGCAAATATACTAATGTAGAAAAGAACAGTGGCATCTTATTACTGCTGTAGTTTTCAATGTCTCCCTTTTCAAAAATGCGTCTTTTCTCTTTCATTTTCTACATTTATGGCTATTACCTGCAAAACTCTTTTTAACCACTTTTCTGATAAATATTGATACCTAATACAGAATTTTTTTTTTTTTGTTCACTTCAAAGAAATCTGTGACTTGTTCCAGCCTACATCATCTGTCCAAAGCTGGCTTTTTAAGCAACACAGATTCCACATTATTAAAATTTGCCATGAGAGGCGATGTCTCTTACTTGTTTTGTTTGTCTCGGACGGTGATATCAGCCCCTCGCTCCAGCAGCAGCTGACAGATGCGTGGGTGACACATCTGGGTTGCCAGCACCAGAGGTGTCCTGCCATCCTAGAGGAAAACCAAGCACATATAGATAAATAAACATAGATATATCCATCCACAAAATCACAGTTATAACGTAATACAGTCCTATATAGTGCAATGCAAAGAATCAATCTGTCCCTCACCTCAAAGCACAAAAGGCTAGATTAATCCTGAATATAGAGAGCACTCACTTAAGTGGACTAACTTCAGATTTATTGAATAACTTTTTGTGCTGCTCAAACTGACTATACATGCTGTTAATGTTTGACCTTGACAAGGTAAAAGCATTCTAGGATAAAGCAGAAAAATAAGTTTTTCTACAATGATGAACACAAGAAAAAGACCATTACAACACACTGTGTGAAATGAAGTGAAATATCAGTTCTCACAAAATCACTGGCATTCACAGAAGCCCCACTGTCACAGAGAAGTTTCACACTGGAAGAGCAGCCTGCCATGACTGTGGAGAGAAAAGAGCAGAAAGAACTGCAATTATTTTATCTCATTTGCCATTTAAGCATCGAAATACACTTATGTCCACTCAGTTAAAGCAGTACTGTGGTCCTGAGGTTGATGTGTTGAAAACGGTACGGTGAAAAACAAGCTCTCTTTAAAAATCAGGACAAGAATTGTTTTTTATTATATATATATATA